GGTACCTGCACACAACAAGTGAATGTATCCGACCGTAGGCCTGGGCGCGGTACCTTTGACTCTACAGTTGACTTTGACTGTTGAATTTCCTTTGTTCTGCGTTCGGTCACACAGCCTCCTCGACAGACTCAGGCTGGGCATGTCTCGGTCACATAGCCCAACACAGTCTGTGCTTTACCGGGGGCAACGTTCTGAGCCCCGGTCTGCTGCTTAACAGGGTTACTGCATTCTTGCCGACCCATATTTCGAGTTCCATCGCAGAAACATTTAAAGACTTCAACCCACGTTCATAAGCAGAGACGATATCAGGAGCACATTCAAGGAGTTCTCTTTTACTAAACCATCTGTCCTCAGATGGTTTCTGACTTTTAAGACGAACGTTGAATTGCTTCTGGGGTCGTCCTCGTGCACCTGTAGAGAAGAATCCTTGTTCTATAATTCGGTCCACTTCATATCCACCATCCATATCTGGCGGTATCATAGATGGTCTATGAGGGAATTCATCTCCTTCTACATAAGGTAGCAACTTAGACGCATGGAAGACAGAATAGGTCCTGAGATGAGGGGGTATATCAATTTTGTAAGACGGTCCCTTTACATCTCCAATTACTTTAAGAACTTCCCAGGGTCCAAAATAGACAGGCATGAGTTTCTGAGAGACATTTTCTTCTAGTGAAAACTCTTTAGACTTGACCCAGACCAAATCACCTTCTCTGAACGTTGACGGTCGTCGATGTTTATTAGCTTGTTCGATCATTCGGTCCTGAGCTTTCTTCAAGTTCTCCTTTACCTTTTTAATGTCTTCTTGAAACAATATTGCGTATTCCAGGTCCCTGGAGGTAACCTAAGAAACTGGTCCCTCGTCAATACATCAATGGGACGCTTAGGTTTCCACCCTTTATGCAGTGCGTTAGGTGTTCGTCCTATAGAGGTATGAACACCAGTATTATATGCACTTGCTATCTTAGGTAAGTTCTCATCCCAATCTATTTGATCGGGTCTTACATACATGTGCAGAAGCTGTTGGCACAAACGGTTCATTTGTTCACTCTGCCCATTCGTTTCAGGGTGTCTACTTGACGACATGGTCAGACGTGTACCGTATGCCTCCATCAGCTTTTGCCATGGCATACTTGTGAACCGGGTATCTCTATCAGATACAATGGATAAAGGGAAACCATATTCAGTCACCCATCGCATCTGAAACTTTTGGATCACAAGTTCCGTTCTGGCTTTTTCGGGTAAGGGAATGAACATAGCATAATTTAGAGAAACGATCCACGATCACCATCACTTGACTATTGCCATTCCGACTTTTGGTGAAACTCATGAAATCCATGGAAATAGACTCATCTGGTTCGCTTGGAATTGGTAACGGTCTGAGAAGACCAAGTGGATTCTCATGTGAGGGTTTGTTTCTTTGACACACAAGACAAGTACGAACATAAGTTAGTACATCCTCTTTCAATCCCTTCCATTCAAAGCGTTATCTAACTTCAGCGTAAGTTTTCTTGAAACCAAAATGACCTTCGGCGTCGTGACATTCCCCAATAATCAGACTTTTGATTTCTTCCTGGTGTGGAATACACAATTGTTGTTCAGTTTGGTCTAGCAAGAAAAACAAACCATCAGTTATCTTATAGTTGGGAAGCAGACTTGGATCTTTCGCAAGGACATCCATGATAGGTTTCCATATAGGATCATTAACATAGCCTTGACGAATTCTATCTTTCAGATCGCTCCCAACGTCTAGGTAAGAGACAATGGCACCAAAGAAATCACATCTCCTAGACAATGCATCTGCAACCACGTTAGACTTACCTTTGATAGTTTTTAACTCAAAATCAAAAGTATCAATGAATGCACACCATCGTACTAGCTTATCAAAGAGCCTAGGCTGTGTCTTTATCCACTTCAGGGTAGAGTGGTCTGAGTACACAGTGAAGTGTCTCCCTAATACATATTGTTTCCAGGTGTCTAAGGCACATACTAACGCATACAATTCCCTTTCGTAGGTAGAATTGACAACCTTTTCAAATGGCAATCGTGCAGACATAAACTCAATCGGTCTGTAGCCATTGCCGTCGTTCTGTTGAAGAACTGCGCCAATCCCATACTGACTTGCATCAGTGGTGACAATAAAGGGAAGAGATGGATCAACAATTTTCAAAACAGGGTAGTGAGTCAAAGTGTACTTTACCTTTTTGAATGAGGACTCACAATCCTTGTCCCACAACCAGATCGTTCCTTTCTTTAACAATCTTCTCATTGGTGCAGCGATCA